TTAATTATATATATATATATATGTGTGTGTGTGTGTGTGTGTAGTTTATTTTTATTTTTTTAAAGACATTAATACTTTTATTCAGCAAGGATGCATTAAATTGATTAAAAGTGACATTAAAGACAATGTTACATAAATTCTTTTGAACTTTCTATTTAATCAAAGAATCCTCAAAAATGTATCAAGAATGTATATTTCTGTAAATATATTTTATAAGTCACTTGAATATTACATTTCTTTGATTGAATGAAAGAAAAAGAAGATAAACGGGTCTTCATGGCATTTTTCCACAGCCTATGAGAAAATGTTTCCTTTTTTTTGTTTTTATATTGTGTTAAAACGTTCTGCTTGGTGGGGCTTTCATACAGTATGTAATAATTTCATGGCATAATTTCTGTCTCTCCCGCAGCCCTCTAAAGACAGTCGTTTGTTCCCGGGGTTAGTGGTTTGTCGAGTGATCTTCGTTCCGCTGCTCATGATGTGTAACGTGCAGGAGAGACACTACATACCTGTGCTCTTCTCAAACGACTTCATGTTTGCTGCAATCATGGTGTTTTTCTCCGTGTCCAGCGGATACTTTGTGTGTCTGTCCATGACGTACGCGCCACAGTGAGTACACACACTTCACACATTGTGTACAAATGGGCTCACCAAGACTGCATTTATTTGATCAAAAATACAGTAAAAACTGTAATATTGTGAAATATTATTGCAATTTAAAATAACTGTTTTCTATCGTAATTTATTTTCAAATGCAATTTATTCCTGTGATGCAAAGCTGAATTTTCAACATCATTACTCCAGTCTTCAGTGTCACATGATCACCCAAGTTCACCCAAAAATGAAAATTAGCTGAAAATGTGCTCACCCTCGAGGTCATCCAAGATTAGGATGAGTTTGTTTCTTCATCAGATTTGGAGAAATGTAGCATTGCATCAGTGTCTCAGCAATGGATGCTCTGCAGTGAATGGGTGCCGTCAGAATGAGAGTCCAAACAGCTGATAAAAACATCACAATAATACATGAAGAATGAAACAGACATTTTTATTTCTGTTAAGAAAAAAAAAAAAAAAAAAACCTCAGGGCACCAATATGTAGATTCTCATTTTCAGGTGAACTATTCCTTTAAGAACACACTGCACACTTCATAAATGTCACATGCTGATCAGTTAATGTCTTGTGAAGCAAAAAGCTGCATGTTTGTAAGAAATAAATCCATCATTAAGACGTTTTTAACTTCAAGCTTTTGCTTCTGTCTAAAATTTGAGTCCATATAACGCTTCCTCCAGTGAAAAAGTCCATCTCCTGTTGTCTCTCACATCAGAATCCAGCCACATATGTGTTTAGAGCTGTTTTGGCTTGTAAACGGTGCTTGATCTGTGCAGATTTCTCTCCTGATTCAGACCAGACCACTTTTTCACTGGAGAAAAAATATTATGGATTATAGACTCATATCTTAGCCAGAAGCGACGGTTTGAAGTTAAAAATGTCTTAATGATGGATTTGTTTTTTACAAAAACAGTTTTTCTCTTCTCAAGACATTAACTGATGGACTGGAGTGTTTATTTCCTCTCCTCTTTCTAGGCTTGTGGAGCCTAAAGATGGCGAGACGGCCGGTGCGTTGATGACGTTTTTTCTGGCTCTGGGTTTGTCGTTGGGAGCAGCGTTTTCGTTCCCTCTGCGTCTCCTGGTCTGACGCTCACGCTCTCAATCCCAGATCCTCGGCTCTCAGGGCTCCTGCGGCAGCACTTGTGTGTCAGTCTGATCTCTTACTGTTCACACAAACCAGGCAAATTCAGAAAGGGAAGCAGCGGCATTCCTCCGTTTTATTCGGCAGCTAAAAAACATGCTGTACAGAATCAGCATGCTGTCCTAAAGGGAGAAATTAATCAAACAAACTCATTTTTTTTTCAAATGAAAGCATTTTTTTAATAACTCCAATGGTAACAGTAGTTTTCTTGTTTTAATTTTATAAAGAAGCTTTTGTGGAAAAATTCTCTTGATTATTTGAACCTAGATTTGTACTGTGTTTTACTCTTAATATTATATCTATCTATCTATCTATATATATATATATATATATATATATATATATATATCTGTTTTAATACTAAGAGTAAAACAGTACAAATCTAGGTTCAAATAATCAATAATGTCAGGACACCGGGAACAACAACAATTTTTTATAAAATGTCAGAAAGCAGTACAAATCTTACAAATCTAGGTTCAAATAATCAATAATGTCAGGACACCGGGAACAACAACAATTTTTTCAGAAAGCAGGAAAATATTATGATTTTTTTTTTTTTTTTACTTATTCCCAGCCCTAGTCACTTGCACTATTATTATTGTTATTGTAAATGAATATAAGATCATCTTCAGACAGTGGATGAAGCACTGGTGGAAACTCTTGTTACCATGTTAACAGTAGATTTAAGGGGAATCCTTAAACCGTTTTGAAAGGGACATTATTATTATTTACATTTCTTCTAATTATGGAATATTTATTACATATGTAAAATGCAATTATAAATAGAGTGGGGTCCAAAAGTCTGAGACCAGACTGAAAATCTTAACTCGAACCTGGAAATACTTTTGGGGTTTAAAAAAAAACGTGTATTGCATAAAGTATCTGATTCTGCGCAATTTCTAGGTCAGTAATCGCATAAGCAAAAAAAATAAAAAGTATGGCAACTGTGTACAAAAGGTCAGATTTTCTTGCATTAAAGCACACAGCATGCTCTTTGCCCAAGTCATGCTGGGATAGCATGGATGATCAGGTTTTATGTTGCTTCAGCGTTTCAAATTATGCTGATAATTGGGGAAAAAATTAAAATGCAAAATAATGCATTTACACTAGTCTCAGACGTGTGTGCCGTGATGCACACGACATCAAGCCTGTAACATGTTCAAACATGCCTAGACAGGTATTGAAGACAAAATTAATTTTTTATTTTTAGGGTTAGAGACGTGGTGTAAAAACCTTCCAGATTGTTCTCCTTTAGTTTTTCACAACATAAAATGTAATCTTGACTGTAAGACCAAAGTTTCCAAACTGGGGTCCAGAGAAAAATTCTGAGAATAAAATAAAAAACAATGAATGTTTACCCAATTTGACAATATTTCCAGTTAATTCTGTTTTGTAAAGACGGGTTGGAAATGAAATGAATCGTGAAATGAAACTAATTAATAGTGGGTTGAAAATATGCTTGTCTAATACCCAAATACAAAGTAGATATTCTCCAGATAATATTTCAATTATATAGTTTTTTTCCCCCACTTTTTTTTTGTGAAACGATTATAAAAGCCTATTTGTTGTCTTTATAAAATCATATTATTTTTTGTGTCCTTGGTATGAATTTTTAAAAATCACATTAAAGCATTAAAGGGATAGTTCACCCAAAAATGAAAATGTGATGTTTATCTGCTTACCCCCAGGGCATCCAAGATGTAGGTGACTTTGTTTCTTCAGTAGAACACAAACGAAGATTTTTAACTCCAGCCGTTGCAGTCTATCAGTCGTATAATGCATGGCAATGGTAACAAAATCTATGAGAGTAAAAAAAACATGCACAGACAAATCCAAATTAAACCCTGCGGCTCGTGACGATACATTGATGTCCTAAGACACGAAACGATCGGTTTGTGCCAGAAACCGAACAGTATTTATATCATTTTTTACCTCTAGTACAGCACTATGTCCAACAGGGGTAAGCAGATAAACATCAAACTTTCATTTTTGGGTGAACTATCCCTTTAAAAAGCGTACAGAAGTACGTTCCTGTCTGTTAGAGTATGCAGGGTTTGCTTGACATTTTACTGCGAGTGAAGCTGGCCAGTACTCTTGTAATGATTGTCCTGAGCTCGTCATCTCGTGTGGAAACCTGCTTTAGACTGACGTGACCTTTCATTTCTCTCATGCATATGGAATATTAAGTTATATATTTGTGAAACTTCCATATGTTGGAGTGTACAAAGTGCCATATGAAACTGAGAGGCGAATGTTTTATTTAGAACCAGCAAAAATGTTACAAACGTTCTGAATTTTTAGAAAACGTAGTGGATTCCGTGTTGATTTGGAGTGATGCTTTTAATGAAATATTAAACCTGTTGCATAGAATAGCCCATTCTGCATTTTCCTTCCTCCAAAAACACAAGATTCATTTACAGTCATACGTTTGACAGACGCAACTGTATCATACAATAGAGGCGATCCATTTTTGAACAGCCAGCAGAATGAGTGCAATCTTGTTCGTCTGTGTGGATGAAGTATATAATGTAATATATGACCGTATTCTGGGATTGTTTTTGAATCTTGAAGAATTAACAGTCTTTGGGAAGAAAAAAGCCTTGGAAGAACAGATATACTTGACAAACGACGACTGAAGTAAATGTCTATTCATATTTGTAATTTACACTTTTTACATTTTTTTTTTGCATTGTATAAAGTGATTGTAATCATGCAAGTTGCTTTATATATATATTTCAAAAAGTTGTGAATTTAAATCTAATAACTAACAAGAGATGGAATTAAACAGATTTTTGTGTGCGGAAGGTCACTTTTATTTGTGTTTGTAGTGAAATCCAATACTGTATCAGAGGAAAACGACAATATAACAAAATATATCACAGTAGTTTGTTATACATCCAGCAGCAAACGTCTCGGATGAAGGCAAAATTCCAGAAATGTCATTAAATGCAACGATGCATGCATTTCTTTTCAAATAAATCATCAGCACATTGCGCACAACACACACTGCTTCTATCAATATCAAACAGTCTGTTCTGTCTATATAAAATACCTTTTCTTTAAGAAGCAGTGGTGGTTGCTCAAATATTTTGAGTCTATAATCAGGATAAATTGTCTTGATTAAAATCCTGTAAGAGTGTGTGTGTGTGCGCTCATCCTATTGCCCCATCAGTATATTTTTTGCAGTGTAATCCTAGAAGTATTGCTTACGTGTTTTTATAATTTCAAATTTTTTTCCTAACAGTGGTGTTTAAAATTGAGATCCTTCGATCTGTAGTTTTTTCCTTTAATTCATGCTGAAAGACTTTTTCAAATACTAAACAGTTGGCCACTGCTGCTATAGACAATATTCTATTCAGTACATTTTTTCCCATGACTAATTGCACAAAATTTCATTGATTTATTTCCCCCAACACCACTGATGTTGGAAGCTTTTGTTGTTGGAAGTTTTTAACCCTCCTGTTGTGTTGTGGGTCAATTTGACGATTAGATTTTTTTTCAACTGAAACACTGGTTAAACTGTTTATTTCTTGTTGAAATGTTGCAAATATTTCTCATTTAGGGTCATGGATGTGCATGCAAACGTTTGACACAGCTGTGCTTTGGAAAGGCTGTAGAAATGCATTGGGGTCAATATGAACCTCCCACCGAGCCTCGCTGGTTTCCATGCAGTTTGCCAAAAATCAACCAAGAGTCCGTTAAAAACCAGAAAATCTTTATTAAAGCGTGTCAAACACTAAAATATGAAATGCATGAAAATGTATGAAATTTACAACTCGGAGTTTAGTCGAAATTGAAGATTTGTCTTCTGAATTGTCCAAGGAAAATTCACTTTTTTTAAATCTAGTTGAGTTTGTCAATAAAATTACACAAATTATGGCAACACTTTACAATAAGGTTCATTAGGTAACATTAGTTAACTACTCTAGTTAACATGAACTAAGCATGAACAATATCCTTTATACTTTATCTAAGATTAATAAATGCTAAAGTATTGTTAATGTTAAATTCAGCATTTACTAATGCATTATTAAAATCAAACGTTGTTTACATTAGCACTGTGAATTAACATGAACTAACAATGAACGAATGTATTTTCATTAACAAAGATTAATAAATACTGTAATCTATTGTTCATTGTTGGAACCTTATTGTAAAGTGTTACCCAAATTACAATAACAAAAAATGCAAAGTACAAATAGCAATAATTAGTGCACTAAATACAAATAATTTTTACTATTTATACTTGGAATTATTTGCACCTTAACTGTTCAATTGCAAGCAGACATGGCAAAAAAATGTATATACACTGTAAAAAATGACCGTGAATTTAACGGTAAAGGACTGTAAAATTCGCAGTGTTTGAAACAACTGCAGGACCTGTGTGTGTTCATGACAGCACAGTGAGTGTGACGGTTCCTTTGGTTTTCTTCAGAATACAGACGGCCTCCTCATGAGTGACTCCCTCCAGACTCTGGCTGTTAACGGCGATGACTTGATCCCCACGCTTCAGACGCCCGTCCTCTGCCGCGGCCCCCTGAACACACACACATCAGATAATAATGTTTCTATCTGTGTGGTGGCATCTGTGGATGAACACACTCGCTGTGTGAAAGCGTTACCTTGCTGAAGACGGTTTTGACGTAGATGGGAAGGTCACCGTGAGGGCTGCCGAACCCACCCACGATACTGAAGCCCAGTCCGTCAGGCCCTCGCTCCAAACTAATGCTCTTACACTGCGGAGGACTGGACACACACACAGACAGATGAAGAGAATGATGTTTTGATTTCACTTTTTAAATTGCATTACTTTCTATCCATCAAACAGGGGCATGATTAGAAGAGAAAAGTATCAAAAATGCACTTTTTGACAAGAGGGGGTTCAATTAGGAATGTGACCATATGTGACCCTGGACCACAAAACCAGTTATAAGGGTCAGTTTTTTTTAAATTGAGATTTATACATCATCCTGAAATGTAAAAAGCTGAAAAAATAAGCTTTCCATTGATGTATGGTTTGTTAGGATACGACAATATTTGGCCGAGATACAACTATTTGAAAATCTGGAATCTGAGGGTGCAAAAAAATCTAAATATTGAGAAAACCACCTTTAAAGTTGTTCAAATGAAGTTCTTAGCAATGCATATTACTAATCAAAAATTAAGTTTTGATACAAAATATCTTCATGGAACATGATCTTTACTTAATATCCTAATGATTTTTGGCATAAAAGAAAAAT